TCCCTCCCCCCCGAAGTCCTATGTAGATTAGTAGTAGCAAGGATGCCAGACAGCTGTACACTAGAAGCGAGTTGGGTGGTGTTAGTATAGATATATATATATAATATATATATGTGTGTGTGGTGTGTGGTGTGTGGTGTGTGTGTGTGTGTGTGTGTGTGAGGACAAGAGAGCAGCGGGGTCATTCTCCTCATCATTGCTCATGTCTACACGTTGAAAGTACCCCGACTCATGCGCCTCTAGTCAAGAAGAGCCCATGTCTCTTCACTCTCTCCCCTCTATGAACAATGACGGTAGGTCCAGGATCCTACAGATATCCATACCATAGATATTTCTCCTTGCAGAGAGCCCCAATACACGCAATACACACACACACACCGTTACCTCCCATCTTCATCTTCAGTCTCACCATGACGTAATGGTGTTGACTGTCCGCACATGGTTGCAGAGGTCAGGAGTCAAGGTGTCTTGTTGTTTATTAATATAGTCAAGCGTAAATCATTAATATCTCCTCCTCCTCCTCCTCATCTTGTCGCCGACATCAGCCAATAGGCTTGAGCTTCTTCTTCTTCTTCTTCTTCTTGCCGGCGCCATCTACGTCGTCATCGGCAGCAGACGATGACTTGCCCTTTTGAAACTGCCTCCAGCTGCTGATCCTCTCGTCCCTCGTGGCCTCCCAGTCCTGGTCATGCTGCCTCTTGCGCTTCCGCTCCTCAATCTCCTGCTCCTGCTTGCGCTGCTCCCTGCCTTCCTCCTGCATCTGGGCCTTCATCTGCCGGCGGCGACGATGCTCATTGTCCACGAGGACCTCGCGCGTCTTGGCGCGCCAGCTGCGCTGGAACTCGGCCGTCTTGAGCTCGGGACTGTCGACCGTCCACTTGTTCTCGCGGATGAGGAGCATGCGCGCGTCGGCGATGGCCTCGTCCAGCCGCTCGCGGTGCTTCTCGTCCATAAGCTCCGTCTGGGCCTTCTTCAGGCGGTCAAAGGCATCGGGCGCGAGGGGGTTCTTGGTCTTGTCCGGGTGAATCAGGAGGGACTTCTTGCGGTAGCACATCTTGATGTCGGACTCTGGAACGCCGGGGTTGAGGTCCAAAACGGCATAGCTGGTTCGGAGTCAGTCAGGGAAAGGGGCCGGTCTTCGAATGTGCATGCGTGCACTCACGCGTCTAGGCGGAAGGCCTTGAGGATACGGTCGATCTCGGCATCCTATTTTCCAACCTTGTCAGTATCTGCGTCGGCTGTGCGGCTGGCTTGCACGTGCACTCACCTTGTCGAATTCCTTGGCCTCTAGCTCGAGAGCATCGAGGGCGTCCTTGTCGTCTGCCTCGACCTTGTCGGCCATGATGTTTGTTATCACTCGTGATCGTTAACGGTGCCCTGTATCGACGCCAGTGGGGAATCGCTCGGGGGCGGAGATGGCAATGGATCACGTGTTGTTCCGCTCTGTGATCGAAAGTGTCTGTGTATCTTCTGTTTGTCGGGCGGTGAGAAGATGTTGGAGCCAAGGTCAGAGCCAGAGCCAGAGCCAGAGTCAGAGATTCGAAGCTTAAGTACCGGGAGAAACCGAGTGGGGCGCTCCAGCATTCTGACAGCCCTGCGACGCAAGGAAGTAGCGAGGCTGTAGGCTGTAGACACTTCCTAGAATCCTCAGACCCACTCTCACTCAACTGCCCCGCGACGATAAGATAAGGAGAATTTCAAGGTGTATTATTACAAAAAAGAAAAAAAAAAAAAAAAAAAAACAGTTTACTTCGCATCAAGCTTGGACATCACATTATAATCCCCCATCTGACTCTCCCTTCTGGTCCCTCACGACCACCAGGACGAGAAAAAAAGAAGAAGACAGACACGATGCCTTCACGTGGCATATCGCCGACTCCTTCGGATGCCGAGGTCGACATCCTTGGCTCTCTCTACCCCGGAGATGATGCTGACGACGCACAGAACGCCATGTCGTTAGACGCTGACTTTGGCGACATCATCAACGCTCCTGGCCCCAACGCGGGGGACGATGGTGACGCGGCCTTTATTGCCCTGCAGCAGGCCGCATCGTACCGAAAATCTTCCAATCTCAAGGGCAGGACGGTCAAAAAGGGTGGAGGTTTCCAGGCAATGGGTGAGTTGACAGCGTCTCTCTCCTCTCTCCACCATCTCGTTAGCTGACTGACCTTGGTAGGCCTCAATGCCAACCTCCTCAAGGCCATCACGAGAAAGGGGTTCTCCGTACCCACCCCGATTCAGCGAAAAACGATCCCCCTCGTACTAGAGAAGAAGGATGTAGTCGGTATGGCCAGGACCGGTTCTGGAAAGACGGCCGCCTTCGTGATACCCATGATCGAACGCCTGCGCGCCCACAGCGGCCGCTTCGGCACCCGCGCCCTCATCATGTCGCCCTCGCGAGAGCTGGCCATCCAGACCCTCAAGGTCGTCAAGGAGTTCGGCCGCGGCACCGACCTCAAGACTGTGCTGCTCGTGGGTGGTGACAGTCTCGAGGACCAGTTCGGCTTCATGTCGAGCAACCCGGACATTGTCATCGCCACTCCCGGCCGTTTCTTGCATCTCAAGGTCGAGATGTCGCTTGACCTGTCATCCATGGAGTACGTCGTCTTCGACGAGGCCGACCGTCTCTTCGAGATGGGTTTCGCCGCCCAGCTAGCCGAGATCCTGCACGCACTGCCCCCCTCGAGGCAGACACTCCTCTTCTCGGCCACCCTGCCTGGCTCTCTCGTCGAGTTTGCCCGTGCCGGTCTCCAGGACCCGAGTCTGGTGCGTCTGGACGCCGAGACCAAGGTGTCCCCAGATCTCGAGAGCGCCTTCTTCTCCGTCAAGGGTGCCGAGAAAGAGGGCTCCCTGCTTCACATCCTGCAGGACGTCATCAAGATGCCCACTGGCTCCCCAGAAGACGAAGGTGAGAAGAAGGATGACAAGCCGTCGAAAAAGAGGAAGCGAGCCCCAGAGGGCGCAGGCAGACCGACCAAGCATTCGACCATTGTCTTCACCGCCACCAAGCACCACGTCGAATACCTCGCCAATCTGCTGCGAGAAGCCGGCTACGCCGTCTCTCACGTCTACGGATCCCTGGACCAGACAGCACGACGCATCCAGGTCGAGGAGTTCAGGGCGGGAAAAACAAACATCCTGGTGGTGACGGACGTGGCGGCCCGTGGTGTGGATATCCCCGTGCTGGCCAACGTCATCAACTACGACTTCCCCACGCAGCCCAAGATCTTTGTGCACCGCGTCGGTCGAACGGCCCGAGCCGGCCAGCGCGGCTGGGCCTACAGCCTTATCCGGGACATCGACGCGCCCTACCTGCTAGACCTGCAGCTGTTCCTAGGCAGGAGGCTAGCCATCGGGCAGGAGGGCGAGCCCCCGTCATTCACCACGGACGTGGTGGTGGGCGCACTGAAGAGGGACCCCGTGGAGGAGAGTGTGGAGTGGCTGAACAGGGTGCTCAAGGATAACGAGGACCTGGACGCGCTGCGGACCGTGGCGGCCAAGGCCGAGAAGCTGTACATGAAGACGCGCAACTCGGCGTCGACGCAGAGCGCTAAGCGCGCCAGAGAGATTGTCAAGACCAACGGGTGGAACGAGCTGCACAGGCTGTTTGGTGACGACGTCGACGGTGACGAGCGCGCGCGCGCCTCCATGCTGGCCAGGATCAGCGGCTTCAAGCCCAACGAGACCATCTTCGAGGTCGGCCACGGCGACAAGGGCAAGAGTGAGGCTGCCGAGATGATGAAGGATCTGCGCAAGCGTATCGTCCCCAAGAACAGGCAGCAGAAGCCGGCATCGGCGGCCGACGAGGCCGACGGTTTCGACGATGACGACTACATGCCCGACGTGCCAGCCGCCAAGGTCAACCGCCACGATCTCGAAGACTCCGAAGAAGACTCTGAGGACCAACAAGAAGGCGTAGTAGAGGAGGAGGATGACGACGACGACGACGACGGTCTCGAGGTAACAGTCTCGAACCACAACCACTCGGCCAAGAAGAGCAAGGGCAAGAACGACTTCCGCGATAGCGAGATCTTCATGTCGTACACACCCCGCACGACCAACGCGGCCGAAGAGCGCGGCTACGGCGTGCACTCCGGCGGCGCGGGCTCCAGCTTTGTCGAGGCCGCCCGCGACGTGGCAATGGACCTGAACAACGACGAGTCCTCGCGCTCGTTTGGCGTGCCGACCCGGTCCCGCATGCGCTGGGATGCCAAGGGCCGTCGGTACGTGTCGCGCGACAACGACGAGGACGGCTCAAAGGGCGCGCGCATGGTCACCGGAGAGTCTGGTGTCAAGATCGCCGCCAGCTTCCAGTCCGGCCGCTTCGACAGGTGGAGGCGCGACAAGCGCGTAGGCCGCATGCCCCGCGTCGGCGAGGCGGAGAAGTCCGGCCCCGGCTCGCAGAACCTGCAGTCCGGCCCCGGCACCGGCATCGGCCCACGCTACAAGCACAAGCAGGAGAAGGCCCCCAAGGAGGCAGACAAGTACAGGGACGACTTCAAGGAACGCAAAAAGCGCGTCGACGAGGCGAGGGAGAAGCGCGTCGGTCGCTTTAGGGACGGCATGGGCAGCAAGAAGGAGCTCAAGGGCATAGACGACGTTCGCAAGGCCAGAAAGCAGCAGCAGCAGCGCAAGGAGAAGAATGCCCGTCCGACCAAGAAGAGGAAGTGATCTGTTTTCTCTGTCCCCCCTCTCTTCTCCTCCAACTTTCAGCACAGTGTCATCACTCCTGTATATAAAAGATACACGTCGCAATGTTATTACGTCGAATCATCATGTCGAAACTTTTCTTAAAAGGAGTAATGTGATGAAATGTGAAAAGAACAGTAGAAGCTTGAAGAGCAAATGGTAAATTTCTAATAGTACCTACCAGCTAGTCATCATAACTATATGCCCTGTTGCTCAGATATTCAATTGCATGAAACGCCAGGGGGGGGGAAACCCCGAGTTGATGAAGAAAACCCTCCTAATCCACCCAAGACGCAAGAGAACAAACGCACAAAAAAACAAGACGAGATTAAAACGAGTTATAAGAGGCAAGATGATAATAATAGAAAAGGGGATAAAGAAAAACAAAGATATGGCTCTACATCATGACATTGGGTATCGTATATCATCGGATAAGAGACAGTCGGCATCAGTTGGTGATGATTCATGTGATCATATCCCGGACAAGGATAGCCTAGTCCATGGCGTCAAGACGGGAGATCCAATTCCGGACGGCATCCTGTAGGAGACTCTTCTGAGGGCGGTAGTTGACGGTGGGTTCATGCTCGTCCACCACGTCGCGGATGAGGTCCTCCAGGGCGGAAAGGATGACAGTGCGGCACTGAGCTCGGGGCGTATCGACGTTGTACTGCCGCGTGTCGGCCTCGTCGTCTTCGTCTTCAGCACGCGGGGCGCTGCGGGACAGGGGGCTTTCCTTTGTAGTGCCCGGCTTGGAACCCATGACACGCTCCATGGCATCGAGAAGTAGGCTGTCGGCTGTATATACCGTCTCTTCGACGAATTCCTCGCCGAGACAGTTCTCGTAGGGAGGCACCGTGGATGGCGTGTGCAGTGGAGCGGTCGACTGGCTCGTGGGGGTGACGTTGCTGCCGCTGCCGGCCATAGTGGTCACCGATGGGAGCTGCTCATGAGCGCCGCCATGTGTGGACGGTCCCACTAGACGTCGGAGGGCAATGCGTCGCACAGAGCTGGCCGACACGTCGGCAACAGTAACGCAGCCTACTTCGACCCACTGCTCCGAAGAGCTGCCACGCACGACACCGAGACAAGGTGTGGGCTCTGCCCGCAGCGTCGCCTTGATCTGTTCCATCAGGTCGTCTTGCGGTGGGATCGCTTGGAGAGAAAAGTCCGGGTGGAAATGTGTCAGCCACCCAGCCGCGTTGATGGGCGGGTCCCCATCAGCTGCCGATACCCTAGCCGAGTGCTCAAAAGACTCCAGGCTGCCCCCTATGCCGGGTGTGGAGAGGTAGCCGCTGCTCGAGGGGGAGCTGATGGCCGACTCAAAAGATGTTATGTACTCTGGGAAGGGGAAGTCCACATCGATGACACCGTCGTCCTCATTGATGCATGTCTTGACGGGCGATTCGAGGGTACCCAAGGGGTCGACCGGTGGCGCATCTCCCTTGATCAGTGTCGATGATTGAGAGCTCCGGGGCACCGCCTGCTCTCCGATCTGGGGGGCCACATCTCGCGGGATCGGCTGACCATCGGCAGTGGCGTCGGTCCCAGCCGTAGATTTCTGCACCATCATGGACGCCTCCTGCACCATCTCGGATAGTCTGTCCCTCCTGGCTGGCGACTTCTTGATGGGAGACCTTGGGTTATCACTCAGCTGCCCGGGTGAGGTCATGGTGGAGGAATCTCGACGCTTCGGGCCCCAGAAACCACTGATGACGCTTCCCCATCGGGAGGCCTGACTCCGGGAATCCGTGCTCGACGTACTGACTTGGCTGCTCTCGCCCCTGCGCAGAGAGCGTTTCAGGTCGTCCGTTGCCAGGCTTCCGCTACTGTCCGGGCGGTAGTCTCTGTTGCCGGCGTCGCGCTGCAGCGACGAGAAGTGTGCCATGGTAGTCTCGGGTACGACGGCGGCCGTCGTGGCAGCGCTGCTCTTCCTGCTTGCCAGGTCGTTACCCGGCATGGCCAGGGCGGATGGCTTGATGGACCCGGCATCCGAAACTCGACGTTCATGGCTACGGTCCATGCTGAGATGGGCCAGCTGAGCGGGGACAGCAGACGCCCGCGTGCTCTGGCTCACATTCCGCGAGTGCGATGTACGCCTGTTTCCTGTGCGACGGTTGATCTTGCGGCGCAGCGACTCCTCGCGCAGGACAGGGACGACATATGTCGGGGGCGAGTGTGCGAAACCGCCGACGGACGCAGATGTGCTCGGTCGGTGCGCGCGCGTCGAGGGCAGGTGCTGGCTGGCTGGTAAGAAGGCGGAGAGGAGGAAGACGAGACGGCGTGCGGCCATCTTGTCCTCGGACATGATGACGGTCCGGGATGGGAGCGCCAGGTCCTCGCCCTCGGCGTGCTGCCTGCAGCCGAGGTAGCGACGCCGGTAGTATGAGGGAGCCAGAGCCTGCAGCCAGTCGGTATGGGTGGCCAGGAAGCCGGTGAGCAGGTTGCACAGGAATGTGCCCCCCTCGACCGACTGTGACCACTTCGATGTCCACAGGGCCTCGTCACGCCAGATGCCCCATCGTCCCTGACCCGTGACGACCCTGGACGCCTTAAGACCTGTCACGATTCGCCAACGTGCGATGCTGACCTCGGCTGCGATGTTGGGGTTGTCCGGTAGAGAATTCTGGCTGATCGCAACAAGCCTGACGCTGCTCTTGGGTGGTTTGGGGCGCGATACGTCGGCGCTCCGTCGGTCAGATTGCACGGAGGCCCGGGAAGGGAGCGTCACACCGTGCGAGATCGAGGAGGAAGCGGCCTCCTGCAGGAGAAGGTCGGCCTGCTTCAGCATGCCCTTGAGAGTCGTGGCCGCCACGGACTGGAGGTGAGTCAAGGTCCTCATGATGATGTCCCAGTGCTGGGTCAGTGAGTCAATCTGGTCTTCTACGTCTGCGGAGAAGGAAGACTCGGCTGCCTCGCCGTAGGCGCCGGCGGCGGCTGTATTCCACCATGCGGGACGTGCTGAGCCGTAGGAGGAGGAGAATACGTCTTGGTCTGGATAGGATCCTGACTCGCGGAACGCCAACTTGGGCGTCAGCCCTGCGGACGACCGGGCAGGCAGCTGCACAACGAGAACAATCGCGTACATGGGTGTACGCCGTTGCACAGGAGGCACTCTGCTGGGCCCGGCCTCGTCACTGCCGGTGGGAAAAGGGTACGCGGTCTGATCGTCGGAGAGCCTGCTTGCGGGGGTGGGGTTCGCTTCCCATTCGTCGTTGGCGACATTGACGGGGAAGAGACGAGTGATGAGGACTTTCTTCTTGGGAGCTCGAGAGCTCGAGCCAAAGGGGGCGCTGGGTAGAAAGGTCTGAGAGGTAAAGGACTGCGAGAGTTTACTGGACCGAGTGCTTGATCGGCCAATGGAGCCTCGTCCGTCGCCGAACAGTGAGGCCGCGTCAGCCGCGCGAGATTCGGAAGGCACAACGTGGACCTTTGTGGACGTTCCCTTATAGGCCATGAGCTCTGAGTTGCCGAATATGCAGCTGGAGATGGTGGCGAGCTCGTCGCGGTACTCGCGAGCGGCCTTTTGCGGCTCCGTCTCGGCGAAGCTCTGGGTACGCCCGTGGTGAGAGCCCCGGCGGTCAAAGGCGCCGTGACGAGGAAGGGTGTTTTCGGTATATATGCTAGGTCGCCTGGAAGCGTGGCCGAGACTTCCCTTGCGGGAGGAGGCTGGGGTGCGACGGGAGTCGGGAGGATATGTGCGGTCGGTGGTCGTAGTTGGGGGTGCTGGCGCAGGGCCCGGGTGACTGTCGAAGAGAAGGGTAGCATTGGTGTGGCCAAGGGTGTCCTGCATGATGAGGAGGCGGACATCCTGGATGTCGAGGTCGACATCGTCGTTCGTATCGAAGGCGGGGGAGGAGCCGGGGGGCGGCAGGGAGAGAGGCGCGGCGTGAAAGGGAAAGAACTGGTCGGCGCGTCCGTGGGAGAGGGTGTCGGGATCTGGGAAGAGCAGGTTTCGTGTGTGTATGTCTTCCTGGACGGAGTCGAGAGATGCCACGGGCGCATAGGCAGACGACTGGGAATTGGAGGGAGCCGAAGCACCTCCACCGCTGCCCAAATTCAGAAGCCTCCCGATCATGGCTGGTAGATGTCGGGTGATGCAGCTGTGGGCTCAGGGGCCCCAAAGGGAGCACGGAGAAGGGGCGCGAAGGCCGACCGAGAAGGTCGAGATAGTGTGAGAGGGTGCAAGTTCTCAGCACCACGGTCAAGTCAGAGCTGCGCGCACAGCCAGTACCTGCTGAGAGGAGGACGATGAACACATAGTAAGCTGTTGGGGTCAAGTTCCTCAGGATGGATAAGCAGGCGTCGGAAAAGGCGTCGGCTCAGGTCCTACGTAGCGCGAGCTTAAAATTCGGAGAGGCCGTCTTCAGAGAAGAGAGGCTGACGGCTGACGGCTGACGGCTGACGGTACTCGCAAGGGTGGTGGATTCTGCTGCTATGACGAGGATATCATGTGTCTGAGCAGAGTAGCAGAGTTCCGAGCCGTGTTGAATACCGTCAGGCCGGTGCAGGTCTCCGGAGAAACAGATGTCGCAGTCGACGGGGTTCAAGGGGTTGACGAGGTGGCAAGAAGGGGGGGAGGCGTATAATAATACGTCGTAATAAGGATCGGGAGGTATTATGTGGTATGCGGAACCGAGAGAGAGACGGTCTACTCGTAGTTGGGGGACAGCTCGGGCGACGAAGGCTAGGGCAAGCGTTGTCGGATCGGTAGGTCGGGGCAAGTGACGGCGGCAGACGACGGGCGATATATTCAGATCCGGAGTGGTGATGGCCGTATCATGTGAGCAACCGGTAGGGCTTAGGGAATGTGTCGAAGTTGCTACTGCAAGTAATACAGAGTAATATTCAGAGGGGGAAAAGGTCAACAATGGAGGGATCGAAGAGATGGGACGAGCGGGTGGGTACGGATGGTCAGAGATACTGTACGGGTACCAGCTATTACAGCCTACGAGCAGTATCATCACTGCTACTGCTCCGTACTAGGGCAGTACTGCTAGGTAATGGTACTACTGCTGGTACCCATATGGTAAACAACAGGACGGGCGCGTCCCATCGCAAAACGCCCCGTGAAGTATTGATACGTACTGCACGTAGTACTCCGTAATTTCTGCATGTGTTATTACTGCCTCTATACATCCATGCAAACATGCAAAATGCCCGCTTGCCCGCTTCGATTGATTTGCCGCTGGCTTCCCGCAAAGCCGCACAGGGCGTCATGGAAGGCTCAAGAGTGGACTCTCAGGGCTTTGGCGGGGTCTCTCCAGTGGGCTGCAGCGGGCTGCAGTGGGCTGCAGCAGATGCACGACTCTCCACTGATCCAGCGCCTACGATGGAGCCAGGCTCCATCCAAGGATTCCGTGCTCCAGTGATGATACTCCGTACAGAGGCACGGGTCGCTGTAACGATACAGTACGAGCGCAGGTAGATATGTACGTGTAATTCTCCGTAATAAGAGGACGAGGTATGGAATACTGGAAGGTTCCACCCACCACCGGTACATTGACCACATTCCCTTCTCCCCCCCCCCCTCTCTGTCCATCTCCCCTCATCGTCGCTCACCCTCACCCTCATGTGCTTTACAGGTTGACAGGCTCGCTGTCGATTTCTCTCGTCTCCATGTCTAGCAGAGGTCAAGCCAGAAAGGTCGGTATGTGGAGCTCTGGATCCACCACTGAGAAGACCAGAGACACGCAGATCCACGGCCCGGCTATAGCTCGATATTCGTAATATAGGCTTCTTACAGGTAAGGGGCCTCTCTAACCATTCCACCGCATCCACTACGGAGTGCGCCATAATACTCGTCGTGTTGCTTGTAGGTCGTGCGTTTTGTAAAAGTGCCTCAGTGGGTGCCTCGGTGGGTGCCTCAGTGGGTGCCTCTGGTTGCCGGCGGGCATCACTAATCGTACGCTTGGGTGGTCAGAGGGCACGCAGCCAGCAGGGTCCCCCCTTCTGCAGGCGCCCCCGCCCCGTCTACCGTCGATCCGGCGCGCCGGGTCGTGATACTCGCACGAGTTCTCGTAGTGGCTCATCCGGCAGCGTCACAGCGGATAGGTTGGTGAGTAGCAAGCAGCCCGTCGAGCACCACCCGTATTCTATGGCTGTGGAATCTGTACAGTGTGTGCATGCAATCTTGAGATGTGCTCAGGGTATCTCTGCTTGGGTAATAGAGGGTCGTTGCTGCGGGGTATCAAGCTCCATCGTTTTACCGGTCTTGGCCCTATTGCGATGGCAGCCGGTTGCTGATGCTGCTGATAGGATGCTTCTCGTATTTTGTAATATAGAGGGTAATACCTCGCAAGGCCAGTCTCACCTCTCGGCTCTCTCCCGCTCTCTGCCATCTCCTCCCACTCTCTCCTCACAATCGCTCTCTATCTGCCTGTCTCTCCTCATGCCTCTGACGTACACCGCTCGGCCACGTAGACGGCAATGTAGATAGATTGTGTAGGATCGGACCGGGTGCGCGCGCCAGTCATTGCCGGCATCACCACACCTCCTCTGCCCTTCCGGCTGCTAACTCGACTCTCGTACATCTTGTACCCAAGACCCCCGCTCGTTTTCATGCATCTGCCCATGTGCGCTTCGACAACGCCCGCCTCCAGAATTGCGGTGAAGAGTCCCCCGTGTCACGGACTTACATGGCGACGCTCAAAACCTGTTCTGAACCTCCTGGTCCGCATCGAACCCTTGTCCCTTTCTGGCCCTCTGGCTCTCTCCCCATGCAGGCATTCTGCAGGCATTCTGTAGGCATCCCGCACGCGGCACCGATCGAGTATTACTTGTAGGGATATCACCATATCCTCCTGTACGAGTAGAGGTGACGATGCTGCATAGATCATATCAACACGCAAAATACACCACCGCCGTGACAAGTACAAGCACTATCAACACTCCATACAGGTAGACAGCAATAGCAGGTCGATCATCGGCAGCCCAGGACGTGTCAAGGCATGTCCAGCCCGTCCCGCACGACCCAGAGCATGACCTACCTTCTATATCCATCCAACCAGCACAGAATACATCTATTCTTCACCAGCCGCCACCATGTACGAGCTCGGTGCACATGCAGTCGCATGTACACACCACGTGCATACAGCAAGCGTCGTATCTCACGATACGTACGACTCGCAGTGCAGTACTGTCTGTAGACATCATCATGCTCGTCTGTCGTCGCATGAGCATATTACCCGTGCTCGTGCCAGACCCCCCGAGCCTCCGCAGACGACATGAGTGAGATTCCGTTGCCTCGTCCGTCCAGTAATGCCGCATATGTACGGCTGCTTCGTCTACTTTGCCATAGAGCATGTATCGGACCCGTATTTCGTGTAGTTTGGGATTCAGAGCATCGTCATCAACCCCTCCGACCCCCGCTCTCTCTACCTTGCCTCCCTCTCCGCTTTGTCATCAATCACCGCGACACCAGACAGTTGATGTTGGGCTCATACGGTAAAGAGGGAAGCATAACGGCAACCGTCGGAGAAGAGGAGGCCAGACAGCCAACTCCCCCGTCTGACCCTAGATCATCATCTCCTTGACGGCTCGCATATGAAGTAGATATAAGGGAAGGAGGTGGGGGGCCTGTGACTAACAGAGGGGCAGCAACGTCCCGCGACGATGCTATCGTCACCTCTCATAAATCAGACGGTCAATTCTCCGCATGAATGCCATCACACTACTGTAGCTGATAGTGTAGCTGATAGTTCTTCACATCTTCCGCCTTAGACTATCAATCCTTTATTCGCTTCACTCCATCCCGTCTCTTCCCCAACGTCTCCATCATGTGCTGGCGGAGCAAGGTGAGGCTGGGAGCGAAGCTGTCTTCCCAAAAGGGAAGGCGGAGAAGCCTTCCCCACAATCCTGACAGCTTCTATTCTGCCATCGTCCCAGAGGAAGCCCATATGTGCGGCATGCGGATTGCGGAATAATATTGGAGAAAGCGAAGTTGACGACATCTGCTCTCTCCAACCTTACCGGCATGCACCATCGCCGTCGCAATCGCCCTCGCGAATCCTCGCATCCAGAGTAGACGCCAGATACGCGACCCTCTTAGACCCCACCGTCTCCGACGCCTCGGCGAGCATCTTCCCTTTGCGAAGCCATGCTGCCAATCCCACCGCCAGCCCACCAGCCATCGCGATAAGCGTCACTCTGAACCGCAGGTACCATGACGCGCCACCATCATGGGACGCCGGGCCAGGGCCCTCGCAGAGGCCACCAGTGGTCTCGCCTGCGGCACTACGACACCATCGCGTCATCACCATCTTCGTCCAGGCCCGACCGACCCTTGTCCATCACCACCGACTCAGCTTCGTCGCCCAGGAGCGAGTCGACGCACTCGACCGTGAAGGAGTCGCACCACCATCACCACCACCACCACCACCATGGTCACCACGGCCACCACCGCCAGCCCCGCGAGCGATACTGCACTATCGTCGTCAATGATGGATACCTCAAGGATGACGTCCTCGTCAACTTTGACCGCCTGGGATCCGACTTCGAGCCCGGTTCGCTCCTGGCCATCACCGCCATCAAGGGCGATCCGTCCACGGCCTACACTGGCCTTCACAAGTCGACCGTCACCGGAGGCTCTAGGCCCGAAAGCGGATATGGATTCCCCGAAAAGGACGTGTACTGCTACCGTTACGTCTTTGTCTCGTCAGAGATGCCCAAGGACGTCAAGGCCCGCCATCCCGATGTCGACATCAGCATACCCAAACACATTGCCGATGCCTTTGGCATGAGGAAAAGCTCACATGTCTTGCTGAGTCCGGTAAGCTTTAAGCGGCTGACCGATGCATCCGGCATGGAACTGGAAACGCTGACGTTTGGTAGATTGACGAGGACAACCCCGCCATCAAGGCGACGCACGTCGAGCTCCTGTTCAAGGACCAGTACCTCTCGCGTTCCGACCTCTGGAGGATGACGGTGGGCGAGCTCACGCAGCGCTCCCTCTACAAGGGCCAGTCCATCCTCTTCATGGGCACCATAAAGGCCCAAGTCTCGGCCATCTTCGTCGGTGGGCGCCGCGTCCACTCGGGCTTCTTCACCAGGGACACGCGGCCCATCTTCCGCAGCGAGTCGGCTAGGTTCACAATCTTCATCCAGATGGCCCGCGAGATGTGGGACTTCGATTCGGAGAATTCGGGTGAGATCATGTTCAACAAGGCTGTCAACGGTTTTTTGCCCGCCCTGTTCAAGAGATGGGCCTCCCTTAAAGCAAAGCATCTCGTCAGCATAGTCCTGTTCGCGCGCGTAGAGTATGACACCGGTCTGGCCACGGACCTCGCCTCCAACGTCCTCGCCGACGACTTTTACACCGGTATCCAGCCCACGGGCGCTAGGAGGCCCTACAAGGACTTTTACCGCGTCGTCGTCAGCGACATGGCTAGCAACGAGTGGACCACAATCCTCCACCAGCTCAAGAAGGAGTTTAGCTACTTCCGCCGAGATTTTAGTCTGCATCATCAGCGAGTGCGCCAGTGCTTCGAACAGCAGGGCGAGGACGGTGACGCTCCCCAGGACATACCTACCAACCGTGTCAAGGCAGAGACCTCCCTGGCCATGTACGGGAACGTTCTCGAGGCCATCCAACTGGCCTCGACCCAGTTTTCGTACGACTACATTGACCGAGACCTGACCCGCACCGGCATATCCATCATCGTCATCACACCCGGCCCGGGAGTCTTCGAGGTCGATTACGAGACGCTGCGGCGGACAACGGAAGCCATGGTCGGCAACGGCATAGGCATCGACCTCATTTGCCTGCCGAGGATGCCGCTGCACTCGGTGCCCCTCTTCAAGTACCGGAACCCCCAGTTCTCCTCCTCCAACGACAGGGGCGGCGGTCACAGCCGCCAGGCCAACCTGTCCAAGTCCTATCAGAGCCGGGACAGTACCCCGGCCTACCACACCCCTGTTGTCGGGAGCTTCCAGTCCATGTCCGAGTCCTTCTCTCCCTCCAAGTCGTCCAGCCTTGCGAAGCACGGCGACTCACCCATCTCGAGCATGAGATCCAACGAGGAGTGGTGCTTCGCCCTTCCGCACTGGGTGCACGTGTCCTTCTGGACTGGCGCGTCCGAGGAGGCCCTGTCCTATGCAGGCATAGCACTGTCCGTGTCGAACGAGGTCCAGCGCGACGATGAGGACGAGTTCACCATCCGCTGCCGCATGTACGACCTGCAGATGAGGAGCGTGCTCGAGACTAACGAGATCGAGACCCAACCACTCCAGGCCGACCCCAACTTCCCCACTCAGGCCCTCGAGCCGCTCTCTCCCAAACTGCGCCGCACCGGTCCTGCCCTCGACAACTCCCCCATATACCTCGCCAATCGCCGCATCCCGGATACCCTCTTCGATCACGTCTACGGGTTCCAGCGGTTCAATCCCGACAGGCTCGTCAGGCCCGGGGAGCCGTCTCTGTGGAAGCAGCTCAAGGAGTTCGATGACACCAGAGCCCGACTGCCACGGATCAAACGTCTGCCCCGCCCATCCAGGTTGGCGGACGACATCGAGGACGCGACGAGGCGGCAACTTACCGAGGAGTCCAAGCTCTTTGGCACTTCGCTCCCAGACACCAAGGTGAAGAGTACCTTGCGGCCCGGTAGGAAGTTCTCTACCACCCTGGCCGAGCTGGACAGGCCCATCGTCGCGCAGGAATCGACGAATGCGACGGCACGACCTCGAAACTCCTCCAATGCTGCTAACTCCAGAATGCCGCCATCCCCGACCAAGAAGCCCAAGATCATGCGCCAGATCAGCCTTGGCCAGCGCGGCTTCGGAATCTCCGCAGCAAAAGCCACCGTGGCCGAGGTCAAGGTGGAGAGCGTCAACGCGTCAGACAGGTCGACGGCAGAGAACAGATCGGTGGCGGGTCCCCTGTCGCGGCTGGGCTCCTCGTCGCCAAAGACGATTGCGAGCCGGTCGTCGTCGATATCGGTCAAGGCACAGATGAAGGAGAAGGGCAGCCTTGCCCCCGGCGGGCTCAGAACGTTGGAGGACATAGCATCGACCCCGAGCATCCCCATCACGACCAAGGCCGGCCAGTCCCGTCCCGACGCAGCTGCTGACGACGATGATGATGGATACGGGTTGACGGTCAAGCCAGCCCCCGCGCTGGCGTTCCGTGGAAGCAAGCGGCCGGATAACCGGGACGTGGAGCACTCGGATACGCTGCGTGCAGAGGATGCGCAGAGGGTGTACACCAACAAGCTGCGGGCCGGCGTGTTCCCGGACCTACCGACGAATTTGTCTCCAACGACGGCCATCACGCCGTGGCTGACGCTGCTCAACCCGTCCAACCCGGAGAAGAGCCGGATAGACGACACGGCACTATATAGCAGGTGGCAGCACGTCTTTCCCGAGACGTCGGAGATGAAAGTTCAGAAGTGGAAGGCGCTGTGCTGTCCGGCGTCGGTGCCGCTGACGACTGAGTATTTCCCGACGAAGTCGCAGTTTGATGCCGAGTACCAGCGACACCCGTATAACGTGGACCAGAACCCGGACGATGACCTTTCCGACGGACCGAGAACGCGCCAGAAGTTCATGATGGACCTGATCGGCCTGCGCTTCTCCCAGGGCTTTCAGGTGGTGGTGGGGCCGGCCGTGGCCAAAGCCTTTGGGCAAAAGGTGATGAAGATTGCCGACATCCTGTCGCGCGACCAGCCCCTCGAGGACGGCACCAGCGTCTTCATGTCCATGGGCAACACGATCCACGAGCTTTCGTGCGTCAACGGCACGGAGGTGGAGATCAACATCCACGTGCGCAAGCCGCCTATCTCGACGTCGTCAGGCCCGCAAAGTGGCGGCCTCCCGTCGTCCACGTCCGCGTACAGGCCGGCCATCCGCACCCTCCTCGATGACAGCTACAGGACGCGGCACATTGACATATGGTCGGCTAACCAGGAGCGCAACTGGAACACCATAGACACTTTCTTGGCGGGACACCATGATGAGATGATGGAGTCGCTGCGCTTCTGGAGGGCACGCTTCGTGCTCATCCCCCTGCTGTCCAAGACATACTCCAACACCAAACCCCAGTCGGGCGACAACCCGGAGGAGGTGCGCATCGAGGGCATCAAGAAGCTGGCCCGCCTGTGGCAGAAGCATCGGTACGTGCCTCCGTCGGAGCGGCGATATCTATCGACGGGCGATGGCGGCGGCGGCGGCGGCGGCGGCGGTCACAATAACCAAAACAGCGGCCACCACAGGCGCCGTGCCGCCAACCCGAGCCCCCTCGATATCGTATACAAGACCGAAGACCCGTCGGTCGTGGTCTCAGCCGAGCTCGAGACGCTACCTTTTCTCGAAGCTGGCGCCACCGGTAAGGGCTATCTCGTCAACAGCCTGGAGCGGTTCAAGAAGTCCACGGTGAACAGCAATCTGGCCGCACTGGCCGAGGCCATGCAGCAGCCTGTGGAACAGGGGGGCGTGCCGCTGCGCAACAGGAGGTGGCATCTGCGTCTGCATCAGAACTCGTTCATCGGATCCGACATGACGACGTGGCTGCTCAACAACTTTGAGGACCTGGAAGGCCGCGACGACGCCGAGGCCCTCGGAAACCGCCTCATGGTGGTCTACGACGACGACGGTAAGCCTAGCGAGGGAGGTCTGTTCGTCCACGTCGAGAAGCGCCACCAGTTCCGTGACGGAAACTACTTCTACCAATTCGCCGGAGAGTACGCCAAGCCGTTGCCCGGGTGGTTTGGCTCCCGCCGGAAAGAGCCCCCAACCGTTCCCGCGACACCGGTGGCGGAACAGAACCCGGGACAGAGTCAGACTCAGAGCCAGGGCGGATGCAGCGGCACCGCCGCCGCCTGGGACTCGCCCAGGCTCGGGCCCGGACAGGCATCCACCGCGGGCGAGGACAGGTCGCCCACCTCCTCGTCGCGGACACCGACCATGTCAGCCGTGAGGGAGAACAGCAAACGCAGCGTACCGCCCGCGGCCGCGGCCGCGGCCGGTAACGTCAGGAGGCCGCGTGTCGACCTCAGCAAGGTGATACGGTACGACGTGGACCACCGCAAGAAGTCGTACCGGCCAGAGCACGTGCACCTGCACTACGACCGGCTGCACAACCCGGACAACTGCTATCACATCCGCATCGAGTGGATGAACGCCACGTCCAAGCTAATCGAGGACGCTGTCGAGTCGTGGGCCCGCGAGGCAGGCCAGTACGGCCTCCGGCTGGTCGAGGTACCGATCCGCGAGGCGGCAGCCATAGGCGACACCAACCCGTTCCGCAAGCCCTTCGAGATCAAGCTGGCCGTGCCGCCACCGTCGCTCGAGCCCCCCTTCGCCTCGGCCTCGTCATCGGCCCCGCCGCTCTACGACCCCACCATGTCCCCCCACAGCAACAGGCAATACTACCAGATCGCCCTGCTGCGGCGCTTCGACTTCGTCCTCGACCTGGAGGCCGCGCGCGGCTTCCCCTCGACCGTCGACGTCAACTACTCGTGGGGCAAGCCCGACTACAGGTACACGCAGTTCATCCACCGCACCGGCGTCGTCGTCGCCCAGATAACTGACGACGGCACCATCCTCGTCCTGGCCAACCGTCTCTACAACAACCGCGCCTCCAACACCCGCGACCAGATCCGCATGCACCCTGCCGGCCCCGACCAGCCCCACCTCGCCGCCTCCCGTCTCATCTCCACCGGATCCCTCAGCAGCCCCGCCCCCCCTGCTCCCACTGCTCCCACTGCTCCTCCTGCTCCTCCTGCTCCCCCCGCCTATGCTCCCGCAGACACGACGCCGATGTCGTCCCCCATGATGAAGGCCGCATACGCCATGTCCCCCTCCCTGAAGCCCACAGCCTCGGCCATCCCGCCCACCCCTGCGGATGCGGACTCCCTAGCCATAAAAGACGACCTCCTGGCCTTCTGCAGCGACCCCGTCGCCCTGGAGGAATTCTACAGGGACACCCTCGAGCGCGGCGCCGCCCCTCCCCCCATCGCACCTGCCACCCCCACAAGCACCAACCTGTCTGCTTCTGCCGTCGCCGTCGCCGCCGCCCATCTCGACGCCGTCCCGGAAGCTAGTATACCTACCCTCGGTCTACCACCCGGTATACTCGACAATAGCAACAGCAACAACAGTCCCAGCATCTGGCCGGGACCGCCATCAGCATCAGTGTCGGGGGGTGGCGCCTTGGCTGCCGCAGCAGCAGCAGCAATGGGCTCCACATCCGGTATGAGGATGGGCAGTCCCATGTCCTTTGTGAGGAGGGGTAGTGTCCAGGCTGAACATAGTAGTCTCGGTCCAGGCACTCCAAAGTCCTTCCAAGGAAAGTGAAGGACAGAGAAGAACAAGTCTGGATGTAATGATTCCTTTTTGTATATAACAATGTCACCATGTATTCCATACATAGAACCGGGGGGGGAAGAGATGAAGGAGAAATAAAGAGTCATGATTGTTAATATATAAGAGTACAAAGAAAACTGGAAAAAAAAGATGGCTCTGTTGAAAAATGAGTTGAAGAAAAAAGAGCAAATCCCCAGAGTACAATGCTCGCCTAGAGCTGCTCATCGACTCCTCTCCATTCCGTTCCCAAAACGCCATTTTCTGTCTTTTTTTTTGCCTCGGTCTAGATGCACGCCGCCTCCTCTCCACTGGAAAGCTTTCCATTGAAAATCCTCCCCGAATTCGAAATAAGAAACGCCTCCTCCCATAGCTGTCTATATAGCTCTAAAACACTCCGGTTCAGACTAGCTAATTGCACATGTTCATGCATCATCTCATCATCTCCCCCGCCTCTCTCTCCCTCTCCATAGTAGTAAAGCAAATAAAAGTGTGTGGCCTCGGGCCTCGGGGTCAGTTAGAACCAGTCGACTTCCGGCTCAAAATCCTCGTCGAATGATGCGGCGGAAGCCTTGACGACGGATCCGCCCCGCTTATTGGCTTGTGAGTTAGAGCGGGCGCGCTTCTTGCGTCCACCTGGCGTCGAGTTGAGCTTCCTCTTACGGCCTCTGCCCTCCTCCTCTTCATTATTGCCTTCGCTGGGCGTGCCGTCCGACTCCATGTCTAGGTCGTCTTCCTCCTCGGCCACCTGCAGCTCATTGTCCACGTTCATCAGCTCGACAAGGGCCTTGCATTTTTGCGTCATGGCCTCCGGGGATGCCAGGCCGTTGGGCAGAGACGACACCTCGTCCCAGTACTTGTCCCAGTGGATGCCCTGTGTCTTGGTTGGCGTCTTGTTGAGGTCCTTGGACTGCATCTTGGCCTTGCTGTCATTGCGTCCCGTGCCCATGCCGTACAGTCGGCGGAGGTACGTCCTCGTCTCCCAGATGAGGAGTAGCGTGATGGCTGCCGTTGACAGCTGGCGGAGTCTGGCGGGGTCGACCAAAGGTTGAGGCGGCAGGAAGTGCCCGGCATCTTGGCCCTCGCCATTCAGCTGCTGCTGGATCTGCATCTGCGCCTCGTCGACGCTCTCCACCCTGACGTTGAATATTTCCGAGTCGATAGCCTGGGCTACTGTGGCGCCGATGCCGGTAAAGAGCTGCTCCATCTTACGCACGCCAGTCTGCAGCTCGCCAATGGTCTGGTACTCGAAGAATGCCATGTTCTCGACAATGAAGCGGGTGAAATCCATGTGATGCGGCACTTCCAGGGATGCGTCCAGCGTGGCCAGATCAAAATCCAGAAGCCCGAGCACCCTCTCGAAGAGACGCTGCCGGTTCTTCATCTTGCTAATCTTGAGCACATCCATCATGTTGTGGAGCTTGGACTGGGGCGGCTCCCCCCTGGCACCCCGCGTGTCTGAGACAATATCTCGCTGGTACTCGAAGGCTGACTGCATCGCCTTGGTATACTCTCTCTCGATCGTGGATTCGTGCTTCTCGTGAAGAGCCCTGTGCTCCCGAAACGCCAGCTCGGAGATGGCTTTACTCGACGACGTCTCCAGCGTGATGAGTGTGACACCGGTCTCCTTGGGGTGAGTGAGACCTTGCCGGTTGATGCTGCCGAGCACCTCCAGGGCCGTCAACGCATGCGCATCCTGGCTACCTAGCGAGATCCGCGTGATATCCTTGAGAAACCGCTGGGTCGTGGCGCTTGCGACATCGTCGTAGCTTGTGCCACCCATGACAGTCAGTGGCTTCCTCTCGTCCCCCCCACCCCCCTTGGCCGAGGCTTCGGAACGCCTCTCCTCCGTGAGCAAGAACTCCTTGAATGACCTGAGGATGATGCCTTCCAGCTGCTGGTCCCGGTCCCTGAAGGCTCCCTGAAAGAGCGCCCACACCTTGGGGATGGTGTAGTTACGAGGCCAGGCCTGGCAGACAGTAGCTATGCCCTCGACGGCCGCCTTGCGTACTTCAAAAGTCTGATCCGTACTCGCAAACGGCTCGAGCTTATCGACCATGAGACGCGCCACCGAGTCTCCTTTGAAGTCACTGAAGACGGATTTGAAGAAATCAAGGTGGGAGTCAAGTTCAAAGTGCAGAGCAATCGTTCCAAGCAGGGTGGAGTAGGCCTTGAGCTTCCGGCCTTCCTGATGATTGAGGATATTGACCGATGAGCCCTTGGGAACAGGTGGGGCACCAGGCTGCCTTGGTATCTGACCAAGTTTGTGGACGCCGACCAAGACGGACCGTCCAAGGGACAGAACCGGCTGCGGGTTCTTGAGCAGATCGAGAACGACACGAACACAGGCGGCCAGCTCTTCAAGTGTGGTACGGCCGTCGACCTGTCCCATCTTGGGGAGAAGCGCCGTCTTGAGCTCGTTTATGAACTCCGTATGGACCGTCGACAGCTGTGGAAGAACACACTTGAGTATAATGACGACGGCTCGGAACGCATTCAGGTCTTCTGGGTCCTTGACGTCGGCGCTGGCCAGCTGGGGCTTGAGGAGTCGAACCTGCTCGAATGTAAAGAGCTTCGGCTCAGCCCTCGCAAATATGGTGAGCACGTGCAACGCTTCTCGTCCAGACGGCACAGTGGGGTCATCAGAGGGGGGGTTGTTGATGAAGCCAAACATGTTGGAGACTAGCTTGGAGCAGACGGAGTATGGACCCGTGGCAAGCTTGCCTTCCGGGCCCTTGAGAATGGACTGAAAGACTTTATCGAGCGTAGTATCCATGCCTCCGCTCTTGACCGTGCGAATTATGAGGGCGGTGTGCTCGGCGAGAAGAGTTTGGAACACTGCCGTATCATCCATCTGGTAAAAAGGGACGAACCAGATTTCTTCGACCATCTGCCGAGCAGCTTCTCGCACACTGTCGTCGAGGTCCGTGGTGACACGGCGGAGCAAGCCGCTGGCAACGTTGCTTCGGAGGGTTTTGTCACGGTTACGGAGGTAGATGTCGCGGGCCAACCGCATTGCACGCCGGCGCACCGAAACTCCAGCATCGGAGACTCGCTCCATGATGGGCTGCGTGAGCGATTCTTCCAGGGCTGGCCTCATCTGAATACAGTTTCCAATGAGGCTGAGAGCGGACTCACGCACTTGGGGCGACGGGTCCCTAGAGCACTCGAGGATGCGGTCCACGACGGTCGAGTTGCCATCTAGGATGGAGGGGTCCGTCTCGAGAACCGAGTTGATGCTCTTCAGACTCTTGCTGCGGACCGTTGCCTGGTCACTGGTCATGGAACGTAGCAATATGGCCAGCATCCTCTCGAAGGCTTCGCACAGTGGTGAGCCCAGGAGAAGAATAGAGTATGCCAACTTCACTTGGTTCGGGGAAACGGTGCTGAACTCGAATTGACTGGAGAGCCAGGTGCGATCCTCCACCATCATGCGCAGCCGGAAAGCCATCCGTCCGAGTTCGCGGTAGCGATATTCGTCGTCATCTGCGCTGTTATCGAAGTACGCCCGGGCGCGGTTGGCCCAGCTTGCCATTATGAACGACGAAGCTCCGGCTAGGTGAGCGCTATTCCCCCCCCGTGATTGGAGGGACTCCAGGACAACGCGGTAGGGGCCGGTCCAGGACAGGACGAGGTCTAGCCGGCTCTCCTTGTCGATGACCTGGCTGGCAAGGGTAGAAAGGAAGTTTGACAGGCCGCCGCTGTCGGTGCCCTCGGAAGAAGCAGCCATCTTCTTCACATGTGAACGAAGGCGAGAGATCGCAGCACTCATATTGCCAAGAACTTCCAGAGCCATGTTCTTCACAGGAGCAGCTGTTCTGTCTCCCTCGAACAGTATAATCATCGACGACATGAGGCAGCGAAGGATGAGCTCGGCAGCCGGCCAGTCTGGGGAGTCCAGGCAGACTGTAAAGTCATCGACGCAGAGATCCAGAAGGTTGCGGTACGGGCTCTCTCCCGACTTGCTTGATCCTGCGGCTCGTTGCACGAGGAAGTTGATGACGAGAGATGCATTCCGCTGAGCGTCCTCGCCCAGTGGCTGGATGAGAAGGCCGAGGTCCTGCATTGCAACATCTGGTTGCTCTGCTCCCTGGCTCTCCGAATCGATGGATGATGTCGCTCTGGATTTCTTGGATGGGGCCGCCTGAAGCTCATCGGCACCGCCCTCCGAGTCGTTTTCGATTGCTCGCATCATGTCGGAGCGGCGGTCTTCACTGGACTTGTCAGGGCAGGCCGCGCTGGCTTGCACCAGCCGCATCACCAGCGCTGATACGGGCTGGACACTGCCTCCTTCAGACAGCTTGAATTGCCTCGAGCTCTGCTTGCCGGCTGGGAGTTTGGAGAGCGACGTCAGTATTTCGTTCAGAATGCCCTGCCTTTGCTCAGGCTTGACCAGGAAGATTTGGCAGAGAGTATCCATGGCTGCCGAGCGTATTCCGTCGAACTTTTGCACTCCAGCGATGGAGTCCTTCTCGTAGTAGGCGTTTTCGACAAAGATGAGATTGGACGAGACAAACTCGAGGGTGTTGAGCGAGAGATCGGTGAGCTGAACCTTGGAGACCAGCTCGGCAAGCATGCTCAGAAGCTTCTGACAGCCGACGAAGATGCCGGATATGTCCTTCTTGTACCTGGCAAGGATCTTGAAGGCGCTTCCGGAGGGACCAGAGTTGCGAAACTCGACGAGTGGCATGATTACATCGTCGGCAACCTTCTGGAAGACCTTGATGCTGTTCTCGATGATGCCCTCCGAGTACAGCTGGCGATCCTCCCTGCCACCGGTGAGAATTCGCAGGCTCGTCCTCGAAGCTCGGATGGCGGCGTCCGTTTTGGGCAACTGTTGGATCCAGAACTCAACAGACGTCTCGTCCCAGTTCTTGTCGACCTGAATATCAAGAGCGAGGGCATCCTTGAGGCTTGTCTCGCTCAGGCGGAGAATTTGGGTGAGGTCATCGACAGGGACCTGGTCGAAGCGACTGAGCGAGATGACTTTCTGGATGGCCGTATACATCTTCTTATGCTCGTCACCAGTAATAGCGGGCTCATGATCCGCATTGAGAGTAACGAGGTGATCGAAGCCAGGCTCAGATTCGAACAGGCCACGCACGGCTCTCTTGATCATGTCCGTCCGTCGACGGAGCTCATTCAGCGATGAGTCTGCGCGTTGACGCTGGTCGAGAGTCTCGCCTAGTAATCCTTCACTGATCTGAACGTCTTGTCGTTCTCTGATACGGGACAGGGTGTGAGGTCCGTCCACCGCCGAGGGGACCTCGACATACTGATCGCGGCCGAAACTTGGAGCGGTGAGGTTGATGCTGAACGCGTTATTGGCAGCCAGCACGGGTTGCATCGATTGCACTGAAGCTTGCCGTTGTGGATCCGGCGGCAACTGTTGGGCAATAGGCTCATTCACCACGGGCTCAGGTTGGGCCAGCTGCCCAGGATCGGCATATGCAGAGCGGTCGAGAGCGTTCTTGGCTGGTATGGAGACCTCGACCCTAGATTGGGTTACTGTATTGGCCTGTGAACTGCCCGGGGGCCGTTGCTGCTGTTGCTGTTGCTGGTGCTGTTGCTGGTGCTGTTGCTGTTGCTGATGCTGGTGCTGATGCTGGTGCTGATGCTGGTGCTGATCTGGTCGGTACGCGTTGGGTACGACGGGCGACTCAAGCTTGATCTTTTCCTGCTTCGGGCCATTGGATATAGGGCTTGCAGTCGGCGGCCTCGTATCCTTGAAGTAACCGCCAACCTTGTCGAAGAAGGTTCTGGCACAGGGCGAGAGGTCGGCCGCTATGGAAGATGCCTGCTGAACAGACGCAGCGGCATGCATCGGGACTGGTGTGAATTTGCTGTCTCGGTGGTCAGCAGTGGCAGGGCACAAGACGCAAGATGGAAGAGCTGGACGACATGGGGAGAATGGAGCTTACTATTTCGTCCGTTGCGGAAGCTTCAAGTCGTGAAGGACATGCTCGAGGGCCTGCTTTCCATTTTTAGAGAGGTGGCCATGGGTCGCGGCTTCCCTGTTGAGACTGTCGAGTTCGTTGACGGGAAGGAGCCCAGCCGTGGAAAGAGCAGACGACCCAGATCCCAGCATCGGCGTCGGTATCAAATCTGCCACAACAAAGAAACAAGCGTCAGATGAGCAGTCAACCGCCAGATCTAGAGCCGCACTATGCGATACAGGATCGGCGACGCGACAAGGAGGGCGCAAGCGCAGCGTACCAGGTATGAAAGGGAGCGTCGTCGTCTGGGGAGAGTACGGGAGAGCTTCGCGAAACGAGAGCGGCCGTGAGGTGTCGGGACGGCCTCGGTCGGGCGCTGTACGATGCGACGCGTGCATCTGGTGATGGGCATAGGCCCCATTCGGGGTCCCGTTTGCCCCTGGTTGATGCATGTTGACCATACGGAGTCGGCTCTGCGCTTAGGACTGGTCGCGATTCTGCATGATTGATCCGGGGGACCTAGCATTCGCCCAAAGTCGCATCGAAGACGGAAACGGTTGGGGCTCAGAGTCGGAGAGAGGCTGTGCGGGAGCGCGAGACGGGGTATGATTTATATCGGTGTCGGTCTGTGTTTAGCCGTGACGTGTTTTCAAGCGATTGTCGTGGGTGCCATAGCCCGGGAGGGGGGGGGTTGCTTGCAGAGTGAAAGTTGGCACGTTCAAGATGGAAGCTTGGGAAGATGCGCGGCTACAGCCTACCATGCATGTTATTACGGCGCAACTGTAATATTCGTACCTTCACCCGCCTGGTTACGGCGTATGGGGGTTAACAGGTAGGTTTCTCGATTACGGGGCCAATCAACGCTATATTAACATTAGCCCTCTGTGGTGATGATACTCTGTAATACTACGGCCACTGTAATAATCTGTACGGAGTACGGAGTATACAGATTACGAGTACATGTATTAATATTATGTATGTCTGTACGTACCTGGTCGATCTCGCGCTCTGAAATTTCTTTTTTTATCTTATCGCTGTAGACAGCGACGGCTTCACGGGTGGTGGTGGCAGCATCAGCTGTCCTTGCTCGTACTTACCCGGCAAGCATATTACCCCCCGATAATACAGATTACATGGCAAAGGTGAAGAGAAGAAATACAGCCAGGTTTACAGATTGTATGTGCTCGTAGACACATTCATCCACATAAACAGAGTATTATCCGAAACCTTGGTTCATGTCAACCCAAAGTGGATAACAGGGAAAATAAAATGATATCACTTAAGCAGGAGTGATTCGTGTCAGTTAAAGAGACAGAGAAGCTTGTTCCCGTCCTTTTATAGGCACCATCACGCTTGACATGCGACCAACATTCTACCCTGTTCTTCTTATTCCCCTCGTCCCGATACCTGAACTTATCCTCTTTTGAGATGGCCGACGGTGTAGATTGATAGCCCCGGTCAGTATTCTTAGCCCACTTATTGACCTGACCTGCAGTATTACTAGTCATACCGGAAGTCTCGATGCGTTTCCTTTGATGTCTACTGGCGCGTTGGCATATGCGTGATACTCAAGAGGTCCCAAGCACACCGCTTGGCAATGCAGGATGCATACGTGCGAGAGAAGAAGAAGAACATTATTCATTGATCGTAAACTTTTTCGAGTCCCTTTCCATAACCCTTTTTGTGACACCCTAGCCTATTCAATTCTAAACCAATCAAAAGCAAGAAAGAAAACGAAGGAAAGAAGAGCAAAAATGGTCTACGCCGTAGCAGTCAGAGCGTCGGGAATCAGAGCATACTCGGCCTCGGCGCTCTTCTCGTGCTCAGCCATGTCGAGGGCAACGATGATGCTATCACGGACGACACTGTCGGCGTCGTTGAGGAATTTCCTGAGAGTGTCCTCGACACCCTCCTCGTCACCTAGACTGCCGAGAGCCTCGGCAGCCTCATGCCTGACCATGCTGGCCTCGTTGACGTCACTGAGGGCCTTGGTGAGGGCGTCTACTGAGGCGGGGTGGCACAGCTGGCCGAAGACGAAGGCGATCTCGTGACGGAAGAGGGCGGACTCATCGGAGAAGCCCTTGGCCAGGGCCTGAACGGCCGGGACGGCCGTGGGCAGGTCGGGAGGGGAGGCCAGGTCACGCAGGGCGAACATGGCGCGGTAGCGCTTGAATAGGGGCTTGGACGTGTCCATGAGGGCGGCGCCGAGATCCTCGACCGACTTTGTGGTGTTTGTCTCGGGCATCGGGGGAGCGGGGTCGATGGAAGCAAAGTCGCTGTTTCCATTTGATTTTTTTTGATTTTTTTTTTAGTCAAAGCAAGTCAAGATCAGGTTGTAAGGCAGGGAGGTGGAGGGTATAGAAGGAAGGGTGTGTGTGTGGGGGGGCTAGTTGGAAGCATACCTCTGGCGCAGCTTCTCGGCCTGCCTCTCCTTGGAGTTGGCCCACTCGATCCTGTCGATGGCAATCTCGCACGTCTCTGTGATGACGACGGACTCGCCCTCGCGGTCGCGGAACTTCCTGAGCAGGTTGAGGCTCTCGGTGAAGCCCAGGGCGCCCAGGGCCTCGGCGGCCTCATGGCGGCACATGACGTCCTCGTCCAGGTCGGAGAGCGCGTCGCTCAGAGGCTTGATGGCCGCGTCGCTGTTGGTCTGGCCCAGGCAGTAGGCGAGCTCGTGCTTGAGGAGCGCGGACGGGGACGACAGCGCCGCCGCGATGGCATCGATGACGGCGGTGACTACCGCGGGGTCCTCTGACGTCTGCCCAACATGCTTGAGCGAGAAGAGGGCCCGGAATCGGAGCGACAGCGCCGCCTCCTCAGAGCACAGGCTCTCGCGCAGGCTGGCGATGGTGGTAAAGACCGAAGACGAAGTCTCTGTGGGGGAGTCTGCAGCGGGAGCCATGGTTTTTTCTTTTCTTCGCTTTCTCAATTCTCCCTTGATATGCGATAATTTTTACAATGGAAAAGGGTTTGCACGTTGTAAACGAGAAGCGTTTTCTTTTTAGGAAATCTGCCCCTCCTCCGATAATCCGTATCGCCGAGATAAAAGAGGAAAAAAAATTAGGTGGGTAGGGGACCCTGCTGGAAGGTGGGGTGATTTGAGTGAAACGAGAAGGAAGAAAAAAACAAGTTGGCGCCCCAGACATAGAAATGCAGAAGATGTAGGCAAGTCGCTTGCGGGGGAGATGCGGTAATTAGCTGTAAGAACAAGGAGAAGAGAAAAGAAGGAGAAGAAAAAAAAGATGAAGAAAATTTGTAGGCCCTTCAATTCAAAACTTTGCCATGACATGACATCTCACGCTTCAACTTTGACAGAACTCTGGAGGTCGTATTAGTGGCAGCTCAGTGGAGCGAGCAGGACCCCCGCAGCGGAGGGGAATATAATGCAAAATAGACTGAGCCACTTCTACATTCAGATGACCTGGCTCTTCTAGAGGTTCTATGGTCTAACGGTTATGACTGCGGATTCTGATTCCGCCAGCGAGGGTTCGACTCCCTCTAGGACCTAGTTTTTTCTATTTTCCTCCTTTTCTTTTACTGGCTCTCTCTCTTTTTTTTGGTCTCTTAATACTCAGGAATTTCCTGCTTCCACAACTCATCGACAGTCATTTGGACTCTCATTCATTCCTCAATTCCCTTTGTACTGATAATACTTGTACCAATAATAATGGGAACCCCGACTATATATATACTCGCGATACGGTTCAGCTTGACGCCTGAGAAGAAACGGCACTAGTCCATCAACGAGTATCCGTGAAGATGGGACGCGTATCTATTGAAACGTCAAGGCAGTGTTCTTGAACGGGATAAGAGCCAGCACAACAGCGGGAATATAGTACCCCGTACGAGTGACGACGTCGTCCGTCAACAGCCCGACCGAACCGCTCTTGTGCTTGGAGTTCGACTCGCCAAAGATGACGTCGTCGGCGTGTCCCAGCTCCATCCCCGCGCGCAGCAGCTTGGCCGTCTCCTCGGCGAGGTAGTACGTCGCCGTGCGCGACTTTCCCACCCGCCCATCCTTCCCAGCGACGACGACCCAGGCGAACGACTGTATGGGGCCGCCGTCCAGCTCAAAGTGCACCCCACCCTCGATGCCGACCCAGTAGTCGGCGTCGGGCTCCTCAGCCCTGGCGTTCTGCACGCGATTCACGGCGCCCAGGAGGGTCTCCTTGTCGGAGAAGGGCTGGTCGGGCACGCCGGAGGCGACGCTGATGCCGCGCACGTGGTATGTTGCCGGGAGGAGCTGCGCGAAGCCCTCCTCGGCAGCTCTGATCTTGGTGGGGTTCTTGGATGATACGATGACCGTGATGGGGGCCGACATGTTGGTGCCTTTCTTCTTCCCTTCTTTCTGGGCTTCCCTTCTGGTCGTGGACGCAATGCTTTCTCCTCTCTACAGCAGGAGGTCTTGCAGGTGAATAGATGGAAAGAGATCGGCAATGATGGGAATGTATGTGCAAACTAGAGTGCGGAGCCGAACGTGCATATGTCGAGATGTTCCGGGACCCCCCACCATTCGTCGCCCGCGTGCGTGCTGATTACCCGTTCGTGCCATAATAATAATACAGAGCTAAACATATACCACCCCGCTATCCGGTATATCATAACAAGCGCATGTGCCCGCTGCCATCGTGGCCTTCTCTTTCTTTCTTTTTCGGCGCCAGAGCTACCGTAGGTATCGATATGACTCCTGCCCAAACTCTCGATTCTCAATTAGATCCCCTATGACGCTGGTGCATCTGCGTGGCCTGGTCATAGCTTTCTCAGAAGCGTGAGGCCTGCTGCCCATCCTTCATCGGGGCTTCGTAGAGAAACCGTGCAAGCGCAACACGATATGTCCCCGGAGTAATGCTATGGGTATCAAGTTGTATATGATCCGGGGAGAGGGCATGTACGGGAATGCTTGCGGGGGCCCAGCATTATCTCGCGTTCCGCTTTTACCAGGCCCCATTCCTCGCCCCGATACTTGCACCGGCCGCGGCCGCTGGTGCCCCCATGCCCTGCATGCGGCGGCCAGCGAGGGCCTCTTCCGTTACGTGGCGGATCATGATGCTCTTCCCAAACCCCGCTGGAGCAGAGAGAAGCAATAGCTCTGGCTCGGGCGATCTAAGCCATCTTTGAAAGGTGGGATCCTGCAAGATTCAATTGCATATTCCGTGATGCGGCTAGCGGTGCCGGAGCTGCAGTGTCTTGCAATCGACAGAACAAGTATTCTAGTAGCTTGTCATATTCTTCTTCACAGGCCTCTAGTGGCGATCCTGTATTCCTTTTCTAAGCGGAACATGTCAGCGAATAAGATGGGGGAATTCCGTACTGTCTACTAGGTCCCTTATGAGGATCAAGCGGGCAAGTATCGATGGGGATTCCGCGGCGAGCAACGCCTGAGGCCACGGTGGTCTTCGTTGACAGGGATAGCCCGCTCATTTGGCAGGCCTAGGATGGCTGAAGGTGGTTCAACGACCAATACCATCCACCCTATTGGTTTTCAGGCTTTGCTCGAATGCGAGCTTTAATGTAAGGCACATGTGATGAGTGCATTACAGGGGAGATGAGGCCAGGCAGACCAAAGTTCCCGTCGTCTTGTGCGATCTCTGCTCGTAAAAGGAGATGAGCGAGATGTCGGAAAGAATCCCGGTCGACATTCTCGCCAGACTATCCAAGAGCCGCGAGTTGATTTTCAGTGCGCCGAGCAAATCAGAGCGCACGCTGCTTGCAAGGCTAGCAGCGTTGACCATTCGCGACAAGATGCTAGCCGGCGATACGCTTCTGGAGTCTTGATGGGGCGTTCCAAAGAAAGCAATTCTTGATGTACAGCTGGGGGTAGAATCGTATGCAGTGCCGGTCCAATCGCGCCATGATGAGAGCCTGCTTGATGACCAAACCACCCAGGCTGTGGCAGATGACGGCGAGACGGCGATCCCTCTTGAGCGGGTGCTCTCTGTTATAGATTAGGCGAGCTAGGAAGTCCTCGGCGAAGTCTGCAAGATGCAAGATGCTTGTGTTGGGGATGTGATCGGGCAACGAGTCCCGCAGCCACAGGTGGCCATCCTTTTCGGACCATGTCTTGAGGGCATCACCGTTGAGACCATGCAGAGCGACAATGCTACAAAGGGGTCACACGTTTACTATATCAGCTCTCACATTCCAGAGGCTAGCAATCATTACCATCGCCTTTACTCACTCAACATTACATGACTCTAGATCATATCTTCCGGGATAGGGTCTGAACAAGCCGTGCTTCTCAGGTGCCTGACCTGACGTTCGCCGCCCGGGCCACACGGTAGGAAGGGTTGGCATTTACCGTTCCTCTGGTTCCCATGTTCACAGGGTGGTGCAAACCGTCATTTTCATGTGACCGGATCCTCTAAAATGCACGCTTCAATGCTTCCCCCACTTCGATGAGGCTTCGCATCGGGGCAGAATGGCCTAGACAGCCTATAAGCTATCAGTGAGTCAGGCTGACACGCAGGCACTCTACATGCAACGCGAGTATCCGTAGACAATGACGCTCCATCCGCATGAGGATGTTGGCATCAGGAGGAGGCGCTGCATCCTAGACGAATGGATGAAGGGGCATCTGCAGCGTGACGGCCAGGAGTCTGGTGATTGATGCAACACTCATTGATTTGGTAGAAATGGAAGAGAATGGTGCATTTTAGTGATAACAGCTCGTAGGCCTCCATACCAGGAGCGAACGTAGTATCTCAAGTATGGTGGTGGTAATAGTACTCGTAATAATGCTGTTACATGTATGGAATAGTAGTCGGTACAGAGTAGCGCTCCGTACTTTGATGGTGAAGGTGGGAGGAAGTTGCACCTGCGTCCTCTGGAGAACGGTCGAGGTCTCTAGTATTAATATTATTATCGGTCAACGCACGTGACTGGGGAACTCGAGCAGCCAGAATAGCTCGAGTTCCGCCTTGTGAAGAGTTCTACAAAGTACGAATACGTTACAGAAGATAGTTATAACTAATGATTATAACGACGGAATATAACAGTGTCGGACAAAAATGATAAGCATCAGAAAAAAAGACAAAAGGAGAAAATCAACGTTGTTGTTACTCGTAGACATGATTGACTATCCACCCCGCCATCTGTTCAACTTAATAAGCAAGCGGTTTAGCGTCGCTGGCTTCGCTCGCTGACCCGAACATTATTAATGCTAGTGCCAAACTCGCCACCAGAAGAGAGAAGGCCCAACGTCAATTCCAAGCCTCTGATAACCCACAACATACATCTGCAGATGATACACATTTCTCTCCACAATATCAGAACTCCATTCACTCTCGCACCATCACACAAGGCGACGATCCGGGAGAGCACCGCAGCGCCTTCGACCCGATCTGCGTCGTAGCCACGCTTGCACCATGGCGCCATCGCTCGAGGAGCCTGAGCGGGCCGAAGACGTCTTCAAGAACCCTCTAAAGCAAAAGCCGGACCTAGTAGCCCCCGAACCAGAGCACTGCCCGGGCCCCGAATCACAGCAGGCCGGCAAGGCGGACTCGTGCGCTGGGTGTCCCAACCAGGCCGTTTGCGCTTCAGCACCCAAGGGACCCGACCCCGACATCCCCGCCGTGTCCGCACGACTGGCAGACGTGAAGCACAAGATTCTCGTGCTGAGCGGCAAGGGCGGCGTGGGAAAGAGCACGTTCACATCTCTCCTAGCCCACGCCTTCGCCACCAACCCAGACAGCAACGTGGGCATCATGGACACGGACATTTGCGGCCCCAGCATCCCCAAGATGATGGGTGTGGAGGACGAGACGATCCACGTCAGCGGGACGGGATGGTCGCCCGTGTGGGTCATGGACAACCTGGGAGTCATGAGCATCCAATTCATGCTGCCGAACCGGGACGACGCCGTCATCTGGAGGGGGCCCAAGAAGAACGGCATCATCAAGCAATTCCTCAAGGACGTCGAGTGGGGCGAGCTCGACTTCCTCCTCGTCGATACACCCCCCGGCACCAGCGACGAGCACCTCAGCGTCAACTCTCTCCTCAAGGAGAGCGGCATCGACGGGGCTGTCGTCGTCACCACGCCGCAGGAGGTCTCGCTGCTCGACGTCCGCAAGGAGATCGACTTTTGCCGTAAAGCGGGCATCCGTATCCTGGGCCTCGCCGAAAACATGAGCGGCTTCGTCTGCCCCAAGTGCAAGGGTGAGAGCCAGATCTTCCGTCCCAGCACGGGTGGTGGCAAGGCCCTTGCCAGCGAGATGAATGTCCCCTTCCTCGGAGCTGTGCCCCTCGACCCCAGGATTGGTATGGCCTGCGACTACGGCGAGAGCTTCTTCGACTCTTTCCCCGATAGTCCTGCCTGCCTGGCCTTCAAGCAAGTCGTCGAGAGCCTTGCTGTCCAGATGGGCCTCGACAAGCGACAGGTGCTCCCGGAGGGATAGATTGATGTGGTCACTCTACACGAGAGAGGGGCGCTGCTCTGGCGAGACGTGGGTCCTCTGACAGAATGTGCAATCTTTGTCTGCCGCATATATTTCTTTACCGGGAAGGAAGAACCACCCTGACGAAGGTCTACAAGACAAACATACGCCGCCTAGCTCTCCAACTTTTCAGGGATCTCCTCTAGGTCCTCAGCGGACTCAATGTCAATCACCCTCCCCACCTCGCTGGTATTCCTCATCAGCTCCTTGGCGCCGGCGTACAGCATGCGCATCTCGGCGTTGCAAGTTATAGGGAGGTAATACAGCAGCACATACGGCACCGACAATCGTCCGTCCGGCTACACCAAGAGAGGTCAGAACAGAAGGGAGGGAGCGAAGGATCTCTCGGGTATTCGTCACCATTGTGAGGGGATAGCTCAGGAGAACGTATCGCGGCGAGTGGTCAGGCAGGTCCTCTGCAATCTCGTCGAGGGACTTGTACACGACCTTGTCCTCGTCCTGGCGGATCTCGTGCGTATTCTTATCAATCAGGTCTGCATAGAAAGAATATCTGTTCAGCGGGGGAGGGCCGGTCCGTATGGTCTCATCTCCGTCGGTCACACGACACTTACATATTACTGCCTGGGGGCCCTTGGCGCGCGAGGTCGTGAGGCGAAATTTTCGGAGGTGGTCCTTGCTCTCGGGCGAGAAGGTGTAGAGTCGAGATTCAGACGCCTACCACGCGCGCGGTACGCAACGTTAGCCAGTGTATCGCCTCCCACACCGGGCTAGTCACCATTGTACATAAAACATGGAAAACATAGAAAGCAGCGAAATTGACATACCATGTTGGTAGAGGCACTATGTTGGCCGGTCTCTTCTGTCGCGCGCAGGTGGCAGATTGCTGGTGTGATGGTGGGAAAGCTGCGGGATTGCCCCGCGGCGAAACGAAACACAACCCCCCACCTACGTATCACTCCGTACACTGTGGCGCTTTCCCGGCTGACAGAAAGCCCGCACTCAAGTCCGCATACTACCTGAGCGGGTCTTCTGACTACTTTTTTGTGTCCAATGTAGTCAGCTCAGCACCCAATGGCGTCATGACAAACCAGGGGACTACACCACTCGATCTCTTTGTTCTTGCCCCTCCCCCCCCCCCCACCCACCGTCACCCACATGAAAGCAGCATCTTCACATCTGCCGAGATTGGAATACCTCCCGCCTCCCTCGGCTCTTGAACTCATGCTCTCGCGCATCTCACAGATAACTCGCCAACTCTCACCGTCCCTCGCCAGCACGAACGCGGGAAGAAGACCAGTCGTGATACCGGGTAGCATCATGGGCGGGAGCAGCACTATCCATACGGCGGCATGCCTGATTATCGGCGATGAGATTCTCGGCGGCAAGGTAAGATCAGCCAGGCTCTCCTTTCCCACCTTGCAACTCTATGAAGGTTCCGAACAAGCTCCTGACATGCCATTCGACAGACGGTTGATGTAGGTTCCACGGAATCTGGACCCGGCATAGCAGCCACTTGTATTGACGACGCAATGGTAGACCAACTCGGCGTACATGGCCAAGTGGTGCTTCTCTCAAGGAATAGTAGGTTCAGATCGCCAGTCGGGAGCCGTCTGGAACACCAGGCTTACCGAGTCGGAAAACCAGAACTTCAAGCGTATAGAGGTCATTGAAGATGACGAGAGCGAGATTGTAGAGGCGGCCCGCCGCATGAGCGAGCGCTACGACATTGTGGTGACGAGGTATTTGGGTTGGAGATGATCTGACGAGACTGGAGCGCATACTGACACGATCTACACTTGGCAAGCGGCGGCATCGGTCCCACGTGAGCATCGGACCCCCCCACCCCTTTTATCGTCTCGTCCACTTCGCTGACAGTCCCAGACACGATGACATCACATACCAGTCTATGGCTAAGGCATTCAACCTCCCGCTCAAGCTCCACCAGGAGACGTTTGAGAAGATGAAGAAGCTCAGCAAGGCCAGACCCAACGACCCGCCCTTTGACTGGAACGACCTGGAGTCGCCGACCCTCAAGGCGAGGCTGCGCATGGCGGAGCTGCCGACGGACGAGTCGCGCGATCTCAGGGACCAGTTCATCTTCCCGCATGACGACCTATGGGTTCCCGTGGCGGTGGTGAATAGGAACATTCATATCCTACCCGGAATCCCGAGTCTGTGTGAGCAACCCCCCCCCTTTCCCTCCGAGCCTCCACCTCTCCGGCCTCTACCCTGTAAGAGAGAAGGGACGGAAGCTGATGCGCCGAACAGTCCAGAGGCTGCTTGACGGGCTGAGGCCCCATCTGGCCTCGAGGCTGGTCGACCCCGAGGGTAAGGGGACGCACAGGATTATGGTGTCGACGCCGTTGCCCGAGAGCACCGTGGCCGCGTACCTCACCGAGCTAGCGGCCAAGGTAGAGGCCGAGGGCGTCAAGGTGGGAAGCTACCCGCGATGGGGCAAGAAGAGTAACACGGTGACTCTGGTCGGAAGGTAAGATTCATCTCCGTCTCCGTCCTGCGCTCCGTATACAAAGTGGAATTACCGCTGACAAGAAGCCGTTGCAAAAAAAAAAAAAAAAAAGGGACCTGGCCTTCCTTGAGAGCCTAGTACCGGATGTCGAGAAGAATGTCAAGGGCAGACGCATCCAGACGGAAGGCGAGGATGACTCCGAGGAAGAAAAGGGTACTGGGGCATGATGATTACATGTCTCGTACTGATTGCGGGCAATGCTGCACGTGGCGCTACAGGAGTATCACTATTGCTGCTAGCCTCGCTTGGCTGATTATCAAAGCTCTCTACTCGCATGCTAATATACGGTCGATCAACATACTCGTACGAGCAATACTCGCACACCACCGTGAGTCGCATTGCAAGGATCAGAGGTATCAGGCCCGGCAAAGAACAGGCTTCCAGAAAAGAAGGACATGGACGGGGTGGGGGGACGTTGTTCAAGTTGGGTTTGGGGTGGATATTCTAGTGCTTGATAGTCAACACTGGTGGATATTACGGTGTATTACGGAGCACTACGGATTGGCATCCGTGTCGATTTACGGCGGTTTGCCATCGGATTCACGGTGTTAGGCAGACGGGTAGTAAGTATCGCGTCGTACGGAGGAGCTATCAGTCTAGTGCTGTGCTACAGGTTATCGCCGCCACAGGGTTGCTGCTGTAGGAGTACTACCAACTCAGGAGTACTACCAACTCACGCACTGAGTTGGTAGTAGTAATAGTGTTGGCAGTGTTAGTGTTAGTAGTATCTATAGTATCTAGCAGTAGTAGTGTTAGTAGTAGTATTAGCAGTAGTGATTAGTAGTAGCAGTAGTAGTAGCAGTAGTAGTAGCAGTAGTAGTAGCAGTAGTAGTAGCAGTAATAGTGGTAGTATTTGATAAGTACTTGATGATAGGATAAATAGGGGGGGGGAAGGGTCGCAAAGCAAAATAATATAAAGAAGAGGGAAAGAAATCAAATGGAAAAAAAAAGCTGATGGGGGTCGGACGGCGGAAGTTGAGCCGGACCCCCTAGTATTGCGACGTAGGTGGATATCTTGCCATGTCCAGATCAAAAAAATCGTCGGTAGTCAGCTCATCTCTTCCTCTCTCTCTCTCTCTCTCTCTCTCTCTCTCTCTCTCTCTCTCTCTATCCCTCTCTCTCCGTCTCCATCTCTCCGTTTATGACTGGTTTGTCATTGCTGTCGCTGCGGTCGATTCGTGTTTTTTTGTTTTGTTTTGTTTGTTTTGTTTTGTTGAGATGATCACTCGCATCATCTCTCTACTCTGGTAGCAAGACCAGCATACGAGTATATGTGATGTGGAGTACGAGTATTGTCATTTACGTCGTAATGAATCCTCTTGTTCAGTTGACCACCGGTTCATCATCAAAGTCATCATACGGGTTTAATATCCTGCCGTGCACCAGCCACCAGCTGGCTGCTTGCTCCACTGACGACGGTTGTCACGGTTGTCACGGTTTAGAAGGGGGGGGAGGAAAAACTACATCATGTAATACTATGCGTATCGTAGAGCGGAGGAGGCTGTACATATTACAGGGTCCAGGACTACGTGCGATAATATACGTAGACTCTGTACATGTTACACATGCTCGTATGCGGTACGAGTAACGAGTACGATGGTAGGATATCAATACAGAGCCATCTGTGCAGGCGTATATGAATATATATATATATATATATTTATATGTGTGTGTGCGTGTGTGTGTGTGTGTAGGTGCGTGTATGTGTGCGTGTAGGTGCGTGTATATATATNTGTGTGTGTAGGTGCGTGTATGTGTGCGTGTAGGTGCGTGTATATATATATATATATATATATATATATATATACATGTATGAGTAGTGACCGTTTAAGCTTGCGGCGCCCGGTCGTCGTTGTGGTGGTTGATTGCCTGCCTATATACGAGTAATCTGTATTACATCTTACTCGTAATCTGTAGTCGCCTCAACCTGCCTCTGCTGGTATTCCAAGAACGCTGCACTCCGTATGATTACCAGAGACAGCGGACCGACCATTTCTTATCCCCTGCAATCCGTACTCTGTACTTGCAGCTAGCGGGCATCCTGTGGATTGACATGATTCATTACCAACGGAAACAATCGAACCTCCCACGAGTTTGATTATCTACTCGTGTAATACGTGTAATTACACGGACTACGCTACGAGTCAACGCTACCATTGCCAGCTACTAGCAACGACTCTAGAGTCTAGGTAGCCGACACTGAGGCGCTACCACGTGCAAGCCCGAGAGAGCTGCTCTGCAGACTGCATACAGACTAATCTGTAAGCTGCACAGGAGTAATGGAGTACCTGGAATCTGTACAGGAGTTGACGATACGTAGAAGACCGAAGCAGCAGGTCCGTAGTATTAGTCAGTATTATGTACGAGTACATGCATGCTATTACGGAGTGACGCTACGGAGTAAGGATGATGATGATGAGAGTAATAATAATAATAATAATAACAATAACAACAACAACAATAACAACAGTGACAATAATAATAATAACGACAATAATAATAATAATAACAGATGATACTGGCAGTATCAACACTACTACTCCGTACCTGTACTCCGTATAACCCTCATTATTACATGTGAGTAGTATTTTACTCGTAATCATACTCGGTACTCCGTACAGATTACAGACGAAGAAAAGAACTCGTACCATAATACGTACAAGGAAGGGCCTTACCAATGGCCGTCCACCAGTCAACACAACCACGGCATTAATCCGTCAATCTGCCCCTGGTCAATACCCCCGGCCACGTACCAGCCAGACCCCACTAAACAGCCATCCCCTCTCCACTGGCAGCTTGGCTTCTGGGTCTGGCCCTCTCTCCTACAATCTGCCGGCCCGCCTGTTGTGATGTCTGCCCGAGCGCCGATGTATATGTACGAGTACAGATTACTCGTACCTAGAAACGTATCCGTTACACCGCAATATACTTCATTTACGAGTGCGAGCAGCGGCAGAGGACGTGTACCCCTTTACCTCTTGAGCTCATCCCAATCCATCCTATCCTATCCCACGGCCAGTCCCCCCCCCCCCCCAGCAGCAACGCAACCCCCCAACACGACCCCCCTAGCGCGCTACTACAGGTGATGTACTGCTACTATCGACTCCGTAGTAGCACCTTGCTGTAGGGGACGTCCCCTAGGACGGAGGACTCCAGTCGATGGTGATGGTAGCAATAGGCAGGTACAGCTCACTGTATCCTTGTATCCTGCCCGAGTAGGCGCTGTGTGTCTCCCTGACTGGCCTCCCTGAGTCTCTAGAGAACCCCCCTCCCCCCCCACCCCCCCCCCCCCCCCCCCCCCGCGGGAAAAACACAGCAACCCACTGGCCGCCGCAAATCGTCACACCAGCCATCCCATCCTCCTTCCCTCCTTCCCTCTTTCGGTCCTTCCATCTCCTCCACCTTCCTCTCCTTCCATCTCTCGCTCTCTCGTCCTCCTCTCTCTCTTTTCCCTCTCATCACCACCCCCCCCTCCCTCCCTCTCATCAACGTCGCCCATCTGCCGACGACCGTTTCTCATCCTCCCCCTCCGACACACTCTTTTACCTTTTTCGTCTTCAACGCGCCGCAGCTTCTCGACGACCTCGCTCTGTCTCTCTTCCTGCTCACCGGAACCCGAGACACTCCAATCCAGCCACCAGAAACGAAGCCAACCTACCAACCCCTGTTTCTCCGGCGCCAGTGTCAGTCTTGCCCGTATCAGCCTAGGGAGTACCGCCGTCTCTCTTATCGCTACGATCAACAGAAGCAGCAATCAGCAGCCAGCTGAACTCCTGCTCTTCCCTCGATCCCAGCTACGCAACGCAACATACCCATAACACACGCACACACACACACACACACAGTCACAATGGCCACAGCAGCTGCCAAGGTACGACAGACATATCGAGCAAGAACAGGCAGATAAAACACACAGCATAACCCCCTCCCCCCTCCCCCCCCACTGATTTATCTGTGCACCCGCGACGCGCGCGCACGGCGTCGCCCGATCCCTCGTCCCGAATCGGTCCCATTGCCGTTTTCGTCGCCTGCTTCATTCTTCTGCTCTGCGCCGTCGTGGCAGTTTAGCTGACAATGATATCATCCCTCTCACAGTTCCTGCGAGAGTACAAGCTCGTCGTCGTCGGTGGTGGCGGCGTCGGTAAATCTTGCCTGACCATTCAATTGATCCAGAGCCATTTCGTCGACGAGTACGACCCGACAATTGAAGGTGAGGAGTTTTTCCCCCCCCTTTTCTTTTTTTCTTGTACCTACCTGCCCTGCCGACGCCCTCCAGAGATGGGGCGGATGCAGACCGAGGGAGTTAGCTGACCGACCTGCCCAGACTCGTACCGCAAGCAGTGTGACATTGACGATGAGGTCGCCCTCCTCGACGTTCTCGACACGGCCGGCCAGGAAGAGTACAGCGCCATGCGCGAGCAGTACATGAGGACCGGCGAGGGGTTTCTGCTCGTCTACGACATCACCTCGCGTCAGAGCTTCGAGGAGATCACTACGTTCCAGCAGCAGATCCTCCGCGTCAAGGACAAGGACTACTTCCCCATGGTGGTGGTCGGCAACAAGTGCGATCTCGAGAGCGAGCGCGAGGTTTCCCGTCAAGGTACGTCTGGACCCCCTCTGCATCATGTATACACGGCCCTCCCAGGCCGTTTCCCCTTCCCTCGGAGAACAAGGTCTGACAAGGACGGCAGAGGGCGAGAACCTGGCCCGCAACTTCAACTGCAAGTTCATCGAGACCTCGGCCAAGTCGCGCCTCAATGTCGAAAAGGCCTTTTACGACGTCGTTCGCGAGATCCGCAGGTACAACCGCGAGATGCAAGGCTACTCGACCGGCAGCGGCGGCCCCAGCGGTCTCGGCGGCGGCAACAAGCAGATGGACATGGAGGATGGTGAGAACGAGGCTGGCTGCTGCGCCAAGTGCATCGTCATGTAAAGCAGGACGCTGCATATGCGCGCATGTCGGCACCCGCACCCGCACCCGAACACACAAACACCAAAAACACAAACACGAATACACCAAAGCACAATACCATTTACATTGACAGACGGCAGGATCAGGAAAGGAGCAAAAAAAGAGATATTTTTGGTGAAGAGATACCCGCGGGGCTCATTTGACGATGAAATTTCAAAACGGCGGATGATTATACCACCTATTGTTTTTTTCTTATTTTTTATCTGCGTGCGTACGCGAAGCTTGCGGAAAAGAAGACGAAAGGCGAGGTGAGACGGGAGAGAAGGCCCAGGCAGAGGAATGCAAGAGGGGGACACAACACATATATATATAGGCACAGCACGCGCTCACGCACGCTTGAACACGGAACACGGGCGAGGAATCGCTCTACACTTTGTGGCATTTCAGACGAGCGTCCTTCTCTGACGAGATGATGAGACGCGGCGGTTGAGATGAGAGGAGCCGACTTGGGTACAAGGAGGGTTTCATCGTCGACGTCCTACTCTCTCACTCTTCTTTTTCTTTCCCTCCTGCCGTTCTTCTTTCTCCGTTTCTTTTATTCTTACATCATGTTAATCCATCATGACCTAGGGAACGCAACCCAGAGAGCATTTCAATTGTCAAGAGGGGGGAAATCAATGAATTTTCCGCTTTTTGTTCTGTCTTCTTTCTCTCTTTTTTCCTTTTTTCTTTTCTTCTTCCTTTACATTCTCTTCTTTCAT